AAATACCACGGATCAAATGTTCGGTCTTTTATCAAAGAATACGAAGGAAGGTATCTTCGTAGAACCCGTGTGGGTCCTTGTACCGCGTTACGTACGAGGCAGTGTAAAGCACTAGGTCGCTTACACAAAACTTCTAAATTCATTATTCTCATTTTGATTCTTTAAATTATGCCTTCTACGAACCGCGCCAGTGTGCTCTTCGAGCTGTATCGAGGGCCTCGTTGTCCGTAGTGGTATCTTTCTCTAAATTCAAATCTTTCGATCTATAACGACGGATCTTTGTGAGTCGTAACTCTGTTCACGAACTCATATAATAACATTGCTAATCACAAAATATAGTTATAAGTGAATAGTTATTAAGTGAAATATTGTGCATTGAGTGCGTCTAGCCCTTAGGGCTAAATATTGAATAAACATTAAAAACCTGAATATCGTGGACTCCATCATTTCTAAGACTAGTTCCTGAACCTCTTTCATTACATCGATCTCAACCACGAGAGAAGGAAGAGAAACCATCAACCAAGGATCTACCGATCGGCAGCTCTAATTCAAATCAACAATATAAATCATAAAGACAACTGTGAGTTCAGCATTTGATATCGACTTCCCCTTTAAATTCGCCGTTGGAACTCCTGGTTACCGGGAGGCGTTCAAAACCTACATTAAAAATAAAACTCTTGTAGCTCGTCTACAAGAGAAAATCTATCTCAAAACGTGTCCGAGCCTCCTCAAGGCCCACTCTACCAATAATTATTTAACTATAATTAATTCGGACATAACATCGACATGCCAACTTTTAACTTAACAAAAATATAATTGTTTTGAATTATAATTGAAAAAACTTACAAAAATCTATTACTGTATCGTAGAATAATTATAACATGCCTTACTATTGTAGTAAAATGATAAAGCTAAAATTCCTAAGTTTACTTATAAGACATTCAACACTCAGTTTAAATTACATAATAAATGATAAGTAATACGAACCTTAAAGCAATTGCATAGTGATCTAAAGCTTTTTCTTCATTGTGCACTCTCGCACAGAGATCACCTAACATTTGATGTAATTTGCAATTCGGTTGAATTTCAACTTGTTTCTCCAGTAAATCAATAGCAGATTCTAAATTCATTTCCTGTTCATATATTTCAGCCAAATAATAAACAGCTGGTAAATATGATTCATCTTGAGCTAAAGCTTTGTCTAAAAGATTTTTGGCCTTTCCTACTGAGACTGGATCTTTCATCAGAACTGATGCATACAGCTAGAATTAAAAATATCTCCATTATCATAAAAATCACATATTTTAACAAAATCATATATTATGCATGTCTTAAGCGCGATCGCGCGAAGGCATAGCTCTGCTGGGGCTTAAAAATCAAGTTTCCTATCTCGTTAAGAGAAATAGTATTTTTAATCCATAATCCTCGTACAAATGTTTAAAAAAAATACCCTGGTGGCAAGAAGAATGATTACTGAACTAATTAAAAACACTGCTTGGTAAATTAATTATCAATTTTAGTGCAAAAACCCGTTTTTTAAAACTTATAGTGGAAATAACTGTCAAAATATGGTGCTGTGGTCAAGATAATTTTAGGAGTCGTTTTTTTTTTTAGCCCTGTCATTAAATTTTAATGAAGAATCCTATTCAATATCAAAGCTCGATATTGCTTCGTTTAGTTGTAATTAAAAGATTTTGATTGGCATTCACACCGAATTTTCCCATTTTGGTCGGCCGTATGTTTATTTTTTTAGTAAACAGAGTTCTTACAGTGACTCTGCGACCGAGACAACGTATGTATGCGTATCAACTTGTAAGTAGTTGATATAACGGAACACGTAAGGGTATTTTATTTGCATCATAAAAAACTAGAAATCTTGCAGTCACTATGACTTGTAAACTATAAATAAATAAAATTTTGCTTTATTAAAAAATGACTTTTGTTAAATTGCACTGTACTTTTTGAACTATTGATGTTTTTAAAGATATAAGCTCATCCCGATGTTACACTCATCAAGAGCTTTCATTTGAATATCCACATGCATTTTGATATATTTTTTATATATACATATATATATATATATAATATATATCTTAAAGATATAAGCTCATTCTGATGTTACACTTATCAAGAGCTTTAATTTGAGTATGCACATGCATTTTGATATATTTTTCATATATACATATATATATAAATATATGAAAAATTGATGTGGGTACTTAAATGAAAGGTCTCGATGAGTGTAATGTCGTGGTGAGCTTATATCTTGAAAAATGTCAATTTATGTCAGAAAAAATGTTAAAATTTGAAATTTTGATATTATTATGATTTAAAAAAATCAAAATTTTCTTTAAAAATTTTTTTTTGTGATTATTTTTAAGAAAAATGATTTAAATATAAATTTCAATTGTTATTTTTTAATATTAATCCTCAAAGATAAATGATAAAATGCATTTTGATATATTTTTCATATATACATGTATATATAATATATATTTTAAAGATATAAGCTCATCCTGATGTTACACTTATCAAGAGCTTTCATTTGAGTATCCACATGCATTTTGATATATTTTTCATATATACATATATATATATGAAAAATTGATGTGGGTACTCAAATGAAAGGTCTCGATGAGTGTAATGTCGAGATGAGCTTATATCTTTAAAAATGTCAATAGTTTACAAGATACAAGGTCATTTCTTAATTATGTATCTAGAGATAGAGCATATTCGAATGCAGCCGAAATACTTATCATCATCAATTGACTATTGGTTAGAATGATATGAAACCATGAAAAAGCACAACTCCAGGTCAAGACTTTTCCAACGATACCAAATTTAACCACAAAAGCCCGTTTTATCATATAAATACACTGGCCACAAAATTTTGCTTATTCTCTTAATAATATAGATTACTGTACGCAGGAAATTAAAAATAAATTAACAAATATTTAATTTTATGTAAAACATGAGCGCTTGAGGCATGCACATTTAGATTTTCCAAACTTTTTTAACTTACAGACAAAACTCTTGGAGTATGACCTAGTTGTTTACAAGCACTGCTTGCAATATTCAACGCTTCCCGTAAACGATGCATACCAATATAACAATCCACACACCCTTTATGGGGCTCATATCGATATGGTTTAATTTGAATAGCTGCTCTGAATTGATGTAAAGCGTCCTGATATTTTTTTTGTTCAATTAAAATATTACCACGTAAAATAATGGCTTCTACATTAATTGGATTGAGGTTGATAGCTTGAGCAGCCAAAGTATTTGCTCTGTTGAGTTTTCTACCTGCGTACAGAGTATAAGCCATTGCGACGTAAACTTCAGCTGAACATTCACTGTTTACCGTCAGGGTCGGTATTAATTTTTCTAAATCTTTGGTGTGTTGTCCTTTATATAATACAGCTGCATATAGATCTAGTCTGTAAATAGATATCATGAAAAATTTAATTTTTCAAGTAAATTATTTTATCCAGCTTACCCTTTGATAGTATCTGGTTCTATAGCTCTCGCTCGCCTCAAGCACACTAACGCATTTTTATCATCTCCGGCACAATAATAACACTCGCCCATAGTTAGTAATAAATTAAAATTATCACGAAGATAGTTAACATTATCTAATATTTTAAAGGTTGAAACTGCGTGACTATATTCCCGATTATGCATATGAGCATGTGCTTTTATCCAAGTATTCAACCAGTCTAAATTCGGTGTGATGGCAGTAGATCCAACAATTAGAGAGTTTACTTCAATTCCTTTAACTCCTAATGAAAGAAGACCTTCTGCGGCTTCTAAAGCTAATGGACACTCTCGTAAAACTTCTTTGTAAGTAGTAATTGCTGATCGCTCCATTCCTTGATCGTGAAATATTTTTGCTAGTGCCATATTTACCTGTTAGATAGAAAAAATAAAATTTATTTTAAGAAATTCTGGTTTGTAATTTTTGAAAAAATTATTTTTTCTTTATTTTTCGAAAGTACGTATATATAAAAGTATTGTGTTAAAATTTTTAAGTGACTGGACCACTGTAACTGTATTATTTTACGAGGTTTGTGTAGATGTTCAAGTGAAAAAAAATCAAATTTTTAAAAAGGCTGAAGGAATTTTGTGTGGTGCCAGCATCGCTGATTGACTTTAGGTAAGATTTTTTCTTTTAATTAAAAAAAATTTTATCCCGTTTATCTCAGAACTATGTTTTTCTGGTTTACGAACATGATAACTCCGGAACCATTGGCTCAATTTTAACGAAATTTAAACCACATATTCTGTATAGTAGTAGCTATGGCATCAACTTCAGCCAAATCAAAATTTTGATTTTTTCTATTTTTTTAGGACTAAAAACTGTGAAAAAACACCTTATATTTCAGTTTTTAATAGATTTCATAGAAATCTAACTATTGCATTGGTCCTCATGGTGCAAATTTAAAAAAATTTTCCTATATTCCAACTTAACTCGATGAGCTGAGTCAGAAAATACATATGGTTCAAAAGTTTATGTATGTATGTATTTATATATTTATATATACGGGATAGAACGCGGCTTATCACGATGATGGTGTCTACAATTCACAACAGATCTTCACGAAACTCAGTATATTTATTCTACTGACAATTCCAAGGCCAAGTTTAAATATCAGCTTAATTGGTCATGTAGTTTCCAAATTACAGGATTTTGAAATTTAAAAAATACACTTTTTACAGTTTACTTATCGAATAACTATTGAATGCGACATTGCATTTAATTTCTATAAAATTTACCTGAAAGTTCTCTAAATAAGCTTTAATTTTAATATTTTGTTGTATATGTCAAATAAAAATTACATTTAAATCTGCTATCTTTTTATAAAATTTGCTGTTGCTTTGGTTTTTACTTCTCGAAATTATTGAAATTTCAAAACTTTTAATTGATTAAACGCCTTTGAACTTATTATTTTTATTGAAGTATGAAACCTACTTCCATTTCGGCTGCCGAATAGCCTTTTTTTTTAATCTCAGCTATTTTGTTATTTATCAATAAACATTAATCTCTACTCATATATTGAAGGTAAATAATTTTGGTTTTTGTGTTTTAGATGAGCCGTTATCAAATTATCATGTACGTCAACGACATACCAACTTTTGGAGGAGCTCCATTTATCCGTTGTTTATTCGATAAAAAAAATTAAAAAAAAATAAAGTCGGATATTTTTTGTGTTATTTAAGAGTGTATGTGTTGATCTGAATTAATTTTATATTAATATCTAGGGTAAAATGGCGGGAACCCCATTACTGACACTTTCTTTGATTTTTGTACTTATTCAATAAATGAAATCATTAATTTCAATAATGAATATATTATTTCTAATCTTTAAGACCTTTAGATCAAAAAAATTTTTAATTTTTATTCCAAGTAGAACATTTTTTCATTGAAAGAAAAAGTTCCACTTATAGGGATTAAAGGTGCCACTAATGGGGTCTTTTACCTTATAATAGTTTAAAAAAATAATGAATATTTGCTTTCTTTCGAGCGTCAGAACCAGAATGATCTCTTAAATGCAAGTGAGATCACTTTGTAAATATACTCAATTTTAATTAATAACTAAAATATTTTTAAAAAATTAAGTTAGCAGGTATTTAATAATTTTTTTAATAAAAAATTATGGCAAAAAAAAAATGAGAAAAAAAAATTGACATGTAGAAATTTAAAAAAACTAAAAATGCAATTTTTTTTAAATAATTTTTCGGAACAAATTTGTTTGTTAGATAAAATTAATAAATTGTCATGTGACTGCTAACTTAAATGTCATAAATATTTTCTTCATACTTATAAAGTTATTAATAATTTTTTGTACCTTAGCTGTTCGTTGTTTTCCAGGTATACTTTGCAAAATTTGTAGAGCTTCCAGTTGGTTTTTCAACTTCATTAAACAAACATAAATTTGATATTTTATGTCAATGTCTGACAGAAGATCTTTGTAACTTTCTTGATTATTTGATTTTGCTGTGCTCTTTGATTTCAATAAAAACTTTCGGAATTGTATAGATTTTTTATACAATGATTCGGCTTTACGATACTCTCCGAGGTGAAAATGCGAATCAGCACAATGTACATAAATAAGAAATTTGGCAGTTGGTGGCAAGAGATCACCATTATGATCACTCAATGATAAGACTAAATTAGCCTGTCAACAAAAAATTAAATAAATATCAGTAAATGTTTATTTAATTAATTTTATTATAATAATATAAAAATATAACTTACCAGAGAAATTACATTCGAGTACAACTGCTGGTCGTAAAGTAATTTAATTTGATCGTAAAGATTGGACATACTTGCGGAGCACAATATTTATTTCGCAACAAAAATATCAGTTCAAAATTTTTAAGAACTATATTTTATTTTTAATTAATTAGTAACAATTTTTTAATAATTAAATATAAACTAACAAAACATAAACAATATTTCAAAATTAAATTACAATTAAATACTCTTTAAACATTTCAGTTACAATAAACATTTATCGTCTTTTGGCGATGTTTAATTAATTAAAACACATCAACAATATAATTATTGAATATTTACTTTTATTAATTAGTTGAGTTTTATGTTTTTATTCGCTACGATCTCATTTTCCCCTGAAAATATCTCAACCTCAACCTCAAGAAGGCATTAATTGTCTACAGTAATCTAACAGACGCTAGATGGCGCCGTATTCTGCTTTAAGGCCAATAATTTTAAAAATTTAAAAATCACAACAAAACTTCTATTTTTTATTTTAATTTAAAAATTCAATCAAAATAAAAATATAGCCGACTATAATTTTTTTAATGAAAATTAATTTAGCATATATTAAATAGTTTTAAGAATTTTATAGCAAATTAACTCTGACAAGAAAAAATTAGAAAAAAAATTTGACATAGAAATTAAAAAAAATAAAAAATGCAATTTTTTAAAAATAATTGTTTGGAACAAATTTTTTTGTTAAATAAAATTAAAAAATTGTCAAGTGATTGCTAACTTTAATTTCATATTTTTTTATATATTATTTATTTGTTAAATTGACGTGTAACATGTAACATTCTACCTGTGAACTCTCTTTAAAGTTCGTGTTGTCAAAATATACCAGGAATTTTAAATGAAAATTAAGTTAGCCAACGTTTTTAATTTTTTGATTTTTTTTTCATTAATTAAATTAGAACAAAAAAAATTTTTTTTTAATTGCACTTACAGTTTTTTAAGTTTTTTACAAATGAAATTTTTTTTTAATTTTTTTATAATAATTTTTTCAATGAAAAAAAAATTCTAAAAATTTTTAGATATCGGCTAACTTTAATTTGCATGAATTTTAAATTTAAATTATGATACTAAATTTCATAGACATCTAACAATTTTTTAGATTTTTTAAAACAATTAAATTTTAATGAAAAAAATTTAGCCTAAAAATTCCACATGTAGAAATGAAAAAAAAATCTATGTGCGAATTTTTTTAAATATTTTTTTTTTATAATTGATTTGTTATAAAAATTTAAAGAATTTTTAGACGTTTGCTAATTTCAGTATCATATTAAATCTTATAAAATACTACAAAATTTTATGATACTGAATTTGATCATTTTTAGAATTTTTCCAATAAATATATAACAAGCAAGAAAAATTTAATTTAAAAATTTCATCATTAGAAGATGAAAAAATCATAAATGCAATTTTTTAGACCTATTTTATTTTTTAAGAAAAATCAAAAATCTGTCAAATGACTGCTAATTTCATTCATAAAATTTTTTCAAACTAAAAAATCAAAATTTTCACCGATTGATAAATAAATTCAATTACTATCACACACACGGTTTTTTTTTTTTTTTTTTTTTTTTTTTAATTAAAACGCTGAATTTATTAACAAACTTTACATTTATTTCTTACTGAATATTTACATTGATAACTTAAAAAACTTTACTTTACAAATAATGGAATATACTTATACATATAGCATATAAAATGAATTTTAAAAAGCTTTTAATTTTTTTTTATTTTTAAAAAATAGATTTTTGGTATTTATTATATTTATTATACATTTTAAATCAAGTCTGATGTATCAACTGACAGCGTAACTGATAACCCAATGTTTGACAAGAGATAATTTACCTTTTTTCGATATAAAAAATATTTTTATCATATTTTTATAACGAAATTTTTTGATTTAAAAATTTTGAATAGGAACACGATACTTTACTATTATTATTTTTATCAATATAAAATAACTCGTATAAAGTGTATAAAAAATTTATATCGCTCACGCAGCTTAAAGATATCTTTAGACTTATATTACATTTAGAGAAAAAATTTCTTTTGAAAAAAATTTTGTAATAAGAAATTAATTTATTGAATATTTTTAATAATTTTATTTCTTAGCTGAAAAAAATCAAAATTTTTTTCACAGTAACTTTTCTCTTGAAAAAATGAATTTTTAATTTAGAAAAAAAAATTTAAATAAACAACTTATGAATTTTCATTCAAAATTTTTTTTCTCCAAATCTAGAAAACTTTTTTTCAACAAGAAAGTTATAAGAAAAATTTTTATTTCTTCAGCTAAGAAATAAAATTGTTTAAAATTTTCAACAAATTAATTTTTTATTACATTGCTCATTTTTTTCAAAAGAAATTTTTTCTCTCAGTGTATTATTATTAAAATACGTAATAAAAAATGTAAAATGGTCTTTTATACTCTCTTCGGTTTAGAAACAATTGCATATTCACTGTCATTATAAACTCTGTGTTTCGGCTCTGGCTGACTGGTCTTTTTTCTAATAACACCATATCCTCGATTGCTATTGTCCACAAAAATATCTTCAACAATATCATAATCATCCCAAGAAGAAATAGACTTTTCCAAAGAAACCGCATTACTATTATAACACGACAAAGAATTTTCCAAACTATTCACTCCAGTTGGAGTTTTATATCCAGAGTTACTATTTCCTTTATACAACGATCCAATATGTTGGAGTTTGTCATAATCAGCCGGGGAGTCTAATGCCGAAGATAGATTATAATTAAGTGTCGATACTGATGCGCTTGTTGATGAGCTACTATTTTCAGTAATTATTGTTTCATATTGAATATAATCGTCTTTGTCTTCATCATTTAAGTTTTCACCATCAACTCTTACATCTTTATCAGCTTCATTATTATTGTTATTATGGTGAATATCACTATTACTTTGATCTTCCTTGGTAGTTTTCTTTCTGATATGAAGATTTTTCATAGCTGAGTTCATTTGTTCAGCACTTAACTCAGAATAATTGGAGTCTCTGTTTTCATTGTGAGGTATTACGTCAATTCCGTGAGTTTTCCATGCGTTGTTTCGAACTTCAACGAGGTCGTAAGAATTTGTTTCATCAGTTTTTAATTCTAATTGAGCGTACGTTGCATCAAACTTTGATGAAGGGCAATAATTTGGTTTTTTATACTTAAGAGAATCGGAAGTATTTTGAAATTCAGCGTCAAGTTTTTCATTTGTTAAATTAGAATCGATATATTTTCTAGGAGGTTTAGTAGGCTTGGGTTTTATCACCGGTTGAGGTCTAATAGATGGCACTGAATTTCCACTGGATGTTGAAAGATATGAATAAAATATTAGAGGCTTTTGGGAATTCTGTGACAGTGAAATTTCGTCTTCTATATTTACTGAGCTAAAATTCGAAGACACAGGCAGTGGAGATCTGGAACCAGCCTCCATTGTCAAAGCAGCATGATACTGCGCGTCATTACAATCTATTCCCAGTGACAAAGATCCTTGTTCTATTTCGTTATTTTTCAACAACTTTTTCATACATTTCATTCGAGAAGATATACACCTAAAAATCTCTTGTTGATTACTGTGCTCTAACTTAAAAGATCCCTCGCCAGATACACATTTTCTACCGGCTTCAAACGTGAATTTTCCATCTCTGTATCCGTATTTTCTAATGTACCTATATGGCCAGGTAAATAAAACTGTATCGTTGTCAATCAGCTTCAAATCCATTGCAGAAATTATAAGAGTGTAATTTTTAGGATCTAATCGACATCGCTTGGATGCTTCTGTTTCAACAAGCTTCACTGAAAAAACTCCTTCATTACTAGCACAATACAAATCATTTTCCTCTTCAATTATTTGATTTGAAGTATCATCCTTGAACGCAACTTTTTGGAACGCTGCTATCCAGTCGCATGTGTCAGTTTCAGTGAAACAACCGAAATGATAATCATTTGTTTTGGTTATTACCTGTTTTTAAATAATTAATTAAATATATAATATAAAAAAAAAAGTGATTCAAGTAAGGTAAAAGACCCAGTTATTGACACTTGCAATTTTATTTAAATTAAATAAGACAAGTCGACTCTAATAAATTAATAAATTTAATTTTTGAATTATAAATTTTAATATAATTGGTTTTTTGAGAACATTTTAATTTTTTTAATTAGAATGAAATTGCAAGTATCAATCAACTAAGCCAGTGTCAATAACTGGGTCTTTTACCTTACATAAGTATTATAGTTTTGACAATTGTTTAGAAATAGGGTCCACTCTTTTTTTGACAATAAAATATCACAAAATAGATATTGTTTAATGATATTGAAGTTAGCTGACAACTGTTAATTTTTTTTTAATTTTTAAATTAAATTAATTAAGGTAAAAGACCCAGTTATTGACACTGGCCTAGTTATTGACACTTGCAATTTTATTTTAATTAAAAAAAAATAAATCAACTCTAATAAATTAATAAATATAATATTTGAATTATAAATTTCAAAATAATTGTTTTTTTTGAGAACATTTTATTTTTTTAATTAGAATAAAATTGCAAGTGTCAAACAACTAGGCCAGTGTCAATAACTGGGTCTTTTACCTTACTTACAATAAAAAAAAATACTTCTAAAAATTTTCTCTCATAATTTTTTTTTTTAATTTTCACAGGTGGAATTTTTTTATTAAATTTTTTTTCTTAATAATTACATTGCTATAAAATTCAAAAAAATTTCTCATGTCTGTCAACTTCAACGTCACATTTTTTTATTTTTATTATTACAATTATCATTACTATTTTTTTTTTTTTTTCAAGCCATTCAATTTAATTTCAAGACTGATTTATTTCAATCAATTAAAAAATAAAAAACTGATTTTTTAACTAGTTTAAAAGCATTTACAGTTGGAAAAATTTTATTCTACGTATAAAAATAAATAATTAAAAAAACAAAATTTCGAAGAAGTCAATGATTCTTTACAATTTTTTTTTAGCTGAAAAATCAATCTTTCAAATTATTTTATTTTTGATCAATTATAAAAAAAAAAATTTGTGACAGTTCAAGAAAAATTTTTAGATGTCATTTTTAATGATACTAAAGTTAGCTGACAACGGTTAATTTTTTAAATTCTTATAACAAATCAATTACAAGAAAAAAAATACTTTTAAAAGTTTCCACTAATAGTTTTTTTTTTAATTTCCACATGTTAAATTTTTTTCATGACAATTGTATTGCTATAAAATTATTTAAAAAAATTCTAATGTTTGTCAAATTAAGATGAAAATAAATTTAGCAGATATTAATTTTCAGAATTTTTTTAACAAATAAATTATGAAAAAAAAAATGAGAAAAAAATATTGACATGTAGAAATTTAAAAAAATTATAAATGAAATTTTTATAAATAATTTTTCAAAAATATTTTTTTTGTTAAATAAAATTAAACAATTATCAAGTGACAGTTAACTTTAATGTCATCAAATTAAGTGTCATCATTTTTATAGATCAATATATTATAGACCACACTTCCAAATAATTGACATAATTTTGAATAAATACTTACTTCAAAAGTTTTAGCTTGACTGCTCAAACCAATTTTAATGCAAGCCTCTAGGGTAATAATTCTAGGTGAATTTTGTTTATTAAGAAAATCTTCTTTGGAATCCCATATTTCTAACCTCGCTATCCCGCACTTGCTTGCTTTGAACAGTTGACAATATCGTTTATGCCATGCTTTCTAAAATGAATAAAAATTAATTAATATTATTATTATTATTTATTTAATTAAAGATATATTTGACATTTAAAATTAAACCTTAAGTTGACTAAGAACGCCTTGAGGAGGAAAAAGTAATAGTCCTTGTTTTACAGGCTCTTCGAATTCCATGGCTACACTCTAATTCATTTATTAATACTTGTTAGACGATAGTTGACCAACATTTACTTTTCAAAAACTATTAAAAATAAACACAGAAAATAACAACATCAATTCTTTAATATTGATGTATAGATAAAGTTAAAAAAAAAATCATACGGCTATATACAATTCACTGATGAATCTCTCAACTTTTTTCTAAACAAACTGTACATTCATATATTTAATACATAGATTAATTAAATATAAAAAATAAACTGTTTCAGTTAACCACAATTTTGTTCAGTTAGTTGTAATCTTATTTTCAGAAAACACAATGACAACAATAACAACAACAACAGTCAATTAGAACTAAAATGTAATTCGACGCGTGTGTGTCTACGCTGTATTTGTTTTAGAACAAAATGACTTATCTACTGAGCAAAAGCTAATCTGTGTAAAATATTTATTCACTGTGAATTTCGTTGTAAGTCTATTTGTTGTCCTTGTTGTCAGGCAATAGTCGCGATAATCTGAAAAAGAGAGTGGTAGTCTTTTGAAGAGATCTGATTCTGTAAATGTATATTACAATCCAAGAATGTGCGATTAGTCATAACATTGAACTATCGGCGAAACATAGATCGTATAGCTTTTATTTTAAGCTTACTTGTTTTATTAATATATAAAGAAAACTTCTAAGTTTTATGATAGTATTTTCTATATTAATTTCTGTTAGAAAAATGAAAAAAAAAATTGTTTTTATTTTGAGAAAAATTTAGATGCGAATTTTCTTTATTAATTGAATGATTAAAATAATATACATTGTAACTTTTATGAATAATAACGTAATACTGAATTTAACAACAATTTTTTAGATTTCGATAAAAATTTAATTGTGATGAAAAAAATTTTACACGTGGAAATTTTAAAAAATTTGAAGTGCGAATTTTTTAATGATATTAAATTTAGCTGTCACTATACAATTTTTTTATTTTCTTTAACAAACAAATGTGTTCAAAAAAATTATTTCCAAAAAATTGCATTTTTAATTTATTAAAATTTCGAAATATCAATTTCTTTTTATAATTATTTTTGCCATAATTTATTTATTAAAAAAAAATTATCAAATATCTGCTAAATTAATTTTCATAATTTTTTGAAATAAATTTTATTATAATAATTGAATGGTCATAAATATTTCCAAAATTGTCAGATGTCTGTTAATTTCAGCATAATATAAAAACTATTAAAATTTATTTGTCATTAGACGAGTATTATTGCAGCAGAGATTTAAAAATTTTTTTTTTTAATTTATAAAACAATAAGTCATACTTAAAAATTTTTTTAAATGAGCTGTCTACTAATTTCATGCTCATATTTGTGAGCTAATTAAGAAAAAGTTTAATTGTAATTAATTTTTAATCAAACTTTTAGTCATTGAAAAGATCACTGAAAAAGAAATGCATTTTATAGAAATGAAGAGAAATATTAGTTCACTCAATATCGTATTAAGTTATATTTAAAATAAATCATTATCATAACTAATGAAAATATCGATTAAAATTCTTTACTGTACTCACAAATAGTTATTCACAACTATGAAAATGAAAGAAAATTAAGTAAGCTGATATCTAAAAATTTTTAGAATTTTTTACATTGAGAATATTATTACATAAAAATTTTTAAAAAATTTCACATGAGAAAAATTTAAAAAACTACAAGTGCAATTTTTTAAAATATTTTTTTTGGTCATTATTTAATTAATGGAAAAAAATAAAAAATTTCTGAATGTCTGCTAATTTTAGTGTCATTAAAAATGAATTCGTTTTTTTCCACTTTTTACTAGTAGATACTATCGTTGACATTATTCTAATTTAGTTAGATAAAAAATTTATAATTCTATAGCTTCTATAACGTACTAAAATTTTATAATTCTCATATATTTATTAATTTATAAATAGTTATTGCAATCTGTAAAAAAAAAATAATTAAATATATTTATGTGTAACTTTGAAAATTTATAATAATCATAAAATCTTAGTTTTTTTTATTAATATACTAGTTCGACTTGAAGGGCAATGATCCGTATGGTATTGTTTAAATAATCATATTAAAATCAGCTGACATCCGACAATTTTTTTAATTTTTATTACTAATTCATATTAAAAAAAAAAAAAACATTTTAAAAAATTTGCATTTGTTTAAAACTTAAAAAATTGTAAGTGCAATTTTTAAAAAATATTTTTTTGTTCTGAAAAATCAAAAAATTATAAACGTCGGCTAACTTAATTTTCATTTTTTTTAATCTCTAAACATGGAATATTTTAATTAAAATTTTTTTATAATAATTTAGTTGTAAAAATCTAAAAATTTGACTGCTGCCCAAGGGTCACATAGAAAAATTGTTGATTTTTTGGTAAATTTTATTCAACAAGAATAATTGTCAACTTAAATTCAACAAAATATTTCCAAAAAAATTTTTGTGCCGCTTGGGTGTCTGTTTGAGTAATAAATGTGTTACCGCGCAGAAATCGATTGTGTGCAATTATCAACACTCTATGAAAGAAAAAGATAAATTCTAAAACAGTGACTAGAATGTATCCGAAATTTTACTCAGAATATTCTCTTCAATATGGACTACGCGGACTACGAACGTATCCATAGATCCACGGTAAATTAAAAATGTTTAGAGCCAATTTTCATTTTATAGTGTTCCCCCTACAACAAAACAACAAAGGCAAATTTTATCAGTTTTGACATTTTGACAGATGAAAGTTAAGCTGTTACACAACAAACTATTTTAAAACAAAAGTGACAGTTCATTGTCAAATTGAAAACAATTCAATAATATGTTGTTCAGGTGTAAAAATTAAACGAAAAAAAAAATCAATTTTTTAAAAAAGAAAGTTAAATAACAAATTTTAATATAATATTTTATTAAATAAAAAATAGAGCAAGTAAAACAACGATTGATTTAATAAAATAGTTACTGTTTTGTCTTAATGTCAAAAGATGTATTGTTTGAGATAAGAGGAGTGTCATGTTGCATAAAAAATAAAAAGAATTAGAAAAAACAATTTTCAATTCTAAGAAATGATGATCTATAGATCATAGTTATTAAAAAAAAAGTTAGAGTAATTAATTTAATTTGCTGTATATTTTTTTTATGTAAATTAAATATTATAGAAATAATGATGCCTTATGAATTATTTCGATGTGATACACATTTTATTTTCGTTAAAGAACAACACAGTCTTTGGTGTGAAAAAAATTCTGGAGAATTTTCAGTTAAATCTGGTTTGTAATAGAATATTATTTTTATTATTTAATAATATATACGAAAATAGTCTTAATATTTTAATCTTATAATTTCTGTTTTAGATTGGGAGTGGGCAAGTGCCAATAACTTAGAATGTCTTGGAATTTTTTATGGGATTATTGGTAAAATAGACCAAACATCTTTTATGGAGTCTAAATTAATGCTCATAAAAGATGTATCTAATGTCGGTGAATTGTATGGAAATCACGTAATTTACAAAATAAAGTCAGTGGCATTCCTCGAACTTGGAAGTAAAAATGCAAACATAAATCTTCTTCCTTGTAAAAAACATAACAATAGTGGGATTAACAACAAAGCACTTGGAAGATTTTTGGATGATGCGCAAAAAACAGGATTTGCTAAGACATGGGGTTCGATTAAAAGTGCAACAAATACTATTAAAAATACTACTCAACAAGCAGCGACGCTTGCTACTTCACAAGTTAAGTCAACGATGATCAGAAGAAACGGCAAAGATAAAGAAAAACTTGAAAAGCGATTGCTTGATGAACTTACTAAAGTATTTTCCGAAACTGATTCGTTCTTTTTTTGTGAAACTGGCGATTTAACGAACAGTTTACAACGAAGAAAAAATAATACTAAGTTATCAAGTGATGAAAATCAACCACCATTATGGAAAACTGTAGACGATAGATTTTTTTGGAATAAATACATGCTACGTGACATTATAAATTTAAACGTAAGATTACTTGAATTATATATTATTAGCAACCTGCAGTCACTATGCGACTGCCAATATTTGCAGATCATGAATAAGAAAACTTTGGCTTCATGATTTCTACCCTGGTTAAGAATACTGATTGAAAAGAATTGACAAGTAGTCACTCCATGCAAACTGTATATCGATACTCCCATTCTAATAAGTCGTATCCCCCAAAATTTGAAAAATTGACTTTTTCTGAAAAATATAATCATAACAATATTATGCAAGCCATATTAACAAATTTAAAGGTCAAGCAGTTTAATAACTATTTTTTTAAATAAATATCTTCATACGTTGAATTCCATTTAATCAATGTTTAAAAAAAACCGTTTTATCCTCTGCTGTAAAATTTTCTAAATGTGGGATACGATATATTAGAATGGCAGTATCGATATCTATATATACAAACAAAAGAATTGAAATTATTGAAGAAAATTTGAATTTCATGTTTTTTAATTATTTTCAATCAGTATTTTTAAACAAGGTAATCACACTAAATATAATTTGAGTACTTTAGAAATTAATTTAAAAAATAGTCGTGCTATCACAGCATCAATTGCAAATAATTTAATGGACAAATGTGATGGAACAAATTCTTATCAAGACCGTTCTGATAATACCAGCCATAAATGATTATCATTCAAGAAAATATCAAACCCAATTTACGATAAAGATATACCCTTTACAAAATTTTTCTGTCTCTTAATTGCATAAATTAATTTTTGACATACAACTACATTAAAATTTACAAGACGAACTGAATAATAAATAAACAAATAACGTTTATTGCGAAATTCGAATCTACTTATAACTACTTTGAAAACTTATAATAAATTAATTATTGCTGAAAACCATTTGAAATATTGAAAAGGCACAAATTAAAGCCTAGACCTTTTCAATGATACTAAATTTAATTTAAAAAACTCATTTTATCATATAAATACGCCGGAGACAAATTTTTCTTTATTCTTTTAATTAAATACATCATCTGTCTTCATCACTTTTACTTTCATAATTTAAGTAACAGTACTCATCCAGCACTTTATTACAGAATGAATTAGCCGATCAGTGGATTTTGCCAATAATTCAAGGCTACGTGCAGATTGAAAAGTGTCAAGTTGAAACAGGCTTTGATCATCAACCCATCTTTGAAACGTTTCATTTAGCAATTATTTCAAGAAGAAGCCGATTCCGAGCTGGAACAAGGTAAAATTTTATGAACTTATTGACATACACTGAAAAAAAAAATTTTTTTTTTTTAAATTTAGAAATGTAATAAGAAATTAACTTATTGAAAATTTTAAACAATTTTATTTCTTAGCTGAAGAAATGAAAATTGTTCTCACAGTAAAGTTTTTTTTGAAAAAAAAGTATTCTAGATTTAAGAAAAAAACAATTTTGGATGAAAGAAAATTTGCAAGTTGTCCATCTAAAATTGTTTTTTTTCAACCAGAAAGTTACTGTGAAAAGATTTTTGATTTCTTCAGCTAAAAAATAAAATCGTTGAAAATTTCTGAAAAAATTAATTTCTTCTCACAACAATGCCCATATTTTAAAAAAAAATTTTTTTCTCTCAATGTACCGAATACTGTTAACATAAGTATTATTTTTTCCAATCAGATACAAAAGAAGGGGTGTTGATGACGATGGTAAATGTGCTAATTATGTTGAAACGGAGCAACTAGTTTGGTATCACGACCATCAAGTATCTTTTGTACAAGTTCGTGGGAGTGTCCCTGTATATTGGTCTCAACCTGGTTATAAATACAAACCGCCTCCTCGCATTGATAAAGGTACACCACTAGTTAACTTTAATATTATTTTTTTTCTTTATTAACATACAGTAAAGTTTTTCCGTAAATTCTTTCATATAACTTGAAAAAATTTTCATATTTAGTATTATCCTTAATAATTTATATAGATACTCGATTATAAAAATTTAATTGATTAAAATCTTGAATAATTACTGACTGACAATGTATATATTTCAATTGCATGTCTTTCTTTAATCTGTTTTTCAAACGCACATCAAAAATTTTATTACATCCATTTCCTCATACTTTCACATAAAATGAACTATTTTGATCAATTTATTCTAACTAACATTATTAACTTTTGATATTTCAAAGTCTTGATACATCAAATTTTAACAGACCACAATTTATTGACACTATTCAAAAACCAACATGTTTTTGTGCTTCAAAACACCTTTCCTCAAATTTTTAAGTAAAATTGATGAGGTGAAGTACTCATAAGTATAGCCATATCTACTTTGGCCAGTTTGTACACGTAAGAACGACCGGTGAAAAAATGAGTGCACACATTGAAGAAAGAATTTACACACGCACTGGTCCTACTTTCTTCCCTAGGTGTGCAATATACTGTATCATATGTTTTTTTTTTATTTATAGATTTTATCGAAAAATTTGTTTCTTAATGATACTTCATTTTATCTTTGTTCTATTTTGTCATAGGTGAAGCTGAAACTCAAGTTGCATTTGAGAAACATTTTGCCGAAGAAATAGCATGCTATGGTCCTGTTTGTATTGTCAATCTCACCGAGCAATCTGGTAAAGAGAAAATAATTTGGGATGCATACTGTGATCATGTGATAAAATATAATAATCCTGACATCATTTACACTACATTTGATTTCCATGAATATTGGTAAGTCAATACTTTAAAACTCGTGATTTAAAAAATTTTGAACTTAAGGAATCATTCTGGCTCCGGCGCTCAAATAAAAGAAAATGTTCATTATTTTTTTACACAGAAACGATTATAGATGTTGATATGAAATTTATTCAGATCAACACATACACTCTTGAATAACACAAAAAATATCCAACTTTATTTAAAAATTTTTTTTTATTAAATAAGCAACGGGTGAACGGAGCCCCTCCATAATTTCATATATCGTTGACGTAGATGATAATTTGATAACGGCTCATCTAAAACACAAAAACCAAAATTATTTACCTTCAATATATAAGTAGAGATTGATGTTTATTGATAAATAACAAAATGGCTGAAATTTATAATAAAAAACTTAAAAATGAGAATTTTTTTCACAATTTTCAGTCCTAAAAAAAAAGTAAAAATGAAAATTTTGATTTGGTTGTTGATAATGCAATAACTACTAAGGTAAAAGCCCCTATTATTGACAGAGCCCCCACTATTGACACCTTATTTAGTTTTATTATTTCATTATCAAAATCTGTTTATAATCACAATTGTTGATATTTGATGACAATTTTGCATATTTTTAAAATTAAAAAATAGTAAAATTTAATTCCAAGGTATAAATTATTCACCGCAAAAAATTTCATTTTTTAAAGTAGGCCAAAACTGCTGATACGTTTGTAATTTCTTAACAATATTGTTAAGAAAGACCTTATTTTCAAATTCAGATTTCTCAATGTTTTTTTTACGTAATTGCATTGTTTAAAATTATTTTAGATTATTTATAGTCTAAATAACCATATAATTATTTACTTATACATTATCGAGTTAAAATTAATTTTAAAATAGCGGATGTCAATGATGGGGACACAAAAATTAACTTGCGTCAACTAACGATATAGGCCATAATGTAAGGTAACAAAACCCTCTCATCATACATATCAACGTATTAATGTTTATAAACTGTCATGTAATTTTATAAGAATCAAAGTATTTAAGACTAGAAAAAATTGCTAAAAAAAAACCTGGTAAAAAATATAGAAAATCTAGGTCTCAAACGAATTTTAAAATAATAAAAATTATTGATAGTTTTGCATTAGTTAGTAAAAAGGATTATTGTTAATATGAATTTAACTGTAATAAAAGACCTGTCAATAATAGGGTCAATGGTATATCAATAATCGGCTCTTTGAATTTTTTGCGCTGTCAATAATACATACATTCGACCTGTTGATTTTAAATTGATATAATAATTATAAAATGTTTTGCTATTAAAGTTAATTAATTAAATTATATAAGTAAAAACAATGATTAAGGTATCCTATAAAAAAATAAGTTGACAACATTGATTTTGAAACACGATAAAAAAATTCAAATATTCGTGATCACTCTATTAGTGTCAATAATGGGGGCTTTTACCTGACTATGTTGAATATGTGGTTTAAATTTAATTAAAATTGGGTCAGTGGTTCCGGAGATATCATGTACGTAAACCAGAAAAACCTACTCATGAGGTAAACGTGTTCAAAGTTTTTTTAATTAAAAAAAAAAAATTCTTACCTGAAGTCGTAAAATAATATAGTTACAGTGGTCCAGTCACTTAGAAATTTTAACACAATACTTATAGGCATACTTATTTTCGAAAAATAAAAAAAAATTTTTTTTTCAAAAGTTAAAAACCAAAACGATCCCTTGAACAATTGATTTTAACAAAATTGTAACAATTTTTCAGTCGAGGAATGCATTTTGAGAATGTGACAATCTTAATTAACGCACTGTCAGATATTCTCGGAGAAATGGGCTATTGTTGGCGTGATTCTCACGGATCAATTTGTTCTCAACAAGGAGTATTTCGTATTAACTGTATTGACTGTCTAGACCGAACAAATGTTGTGCAAACTGCTATTGGGAAAACTGTGATGGAAATGCAATTTTCTAAACTTGGATTAATACCACCTGATGGAACGCTTCCATCAAATATACGACAGACATTTCAGTCACTGTGGGCAAATAATGGTGACATTATTAGCAAGCAATATGCAGGAACTAATGCTTTGAAGGTAATAATAATAGCTAAATTTTTTCCCATTATTAATAATGATGCCAATGGAATTATTTTTTTTTTTTTTTTTTTTTTTTTTATTAGGGAGATTACACCAGAACTGGAGAAAGAAAATTTACGGGGCTTATGAAAGATGGAGTTAATTCAGCAAATCGGTAATACATTTATAATTACTTTACAATATTTTTAACATTATACAGTAACATTCAGATTCAGAAAATATTTGATTTGTTGATTCCAATTAAATCTTTATTAAACTGTTTGAATATTCATATTGGTTTCCGGCTTTCCTTTAAATGTAGATATTATCAGCAACACTTTTTGGACGAGACTTATCAGGCAGCTATAGATATCACCCTCGGTAATCCTATTGATATTGAAAAATTCAAGACTAGTTATTTACATTCTTTACATATTCTTGACAATTGTTGCGTTGAGCTAATACCTGTTAAACCACCAAATATAGAACTTCAGTTTCTAAATCACCCTGAAATTTTACTTGCAACAAATATTTATACATTCATGAGGTTTGTTAATCCTCATTTAACTATATATTATTACATTTAACTTTTATTCACTTGATATTTCATATTAAGGTAGGTGACCACCTTGGAAGGCTAAAAAATGCAACATTTTAAAAATTTTTTTTTTTTTTCAAAATACAAAAATTTTTAATTTTTTTTAATTTCATTTATTAACAACTATTCAGAAGCCGCCAAAGTCGAGACCTCAAAAAAATTTTGTCCTACGGTGGACAGTTAATCTCAGGATTAGTGAATATGAAAAATAAAATAAAACAAGGCATCTTCAAAAGAAAGGTCCCTTACAAGACAATCTACCATAATTTACCAAAAAAAAAAAAAATAATAGAAAAGAAACGGTAGATTTTTAAAAAAATTACCCCTGTTTTCACTATTTTTTGTTAAAAAACAATGTAATAATTTAATTTTTTTGGCAAAATTTAATAAATTAGCTTACAAAACATTTAAATGAACAAAAAAAAATCAAAAACATAAAAATCGGTTGAGTAGTTTCGGAGATTAGTTGTCCGCTATTTGAAAAAAAGGAGTTTCGAGAAAAACGCTCTTAAAGTTTTTACTCGCTATTAAGGTAGTTGTCATGGTACAATATTGTCAATAAATTAGAGATTATATGCGCCGCAAAAGTATATGAGCTTGTAGCTAAGTAATCCATAATTTTTACGCTAAACTGTACCCGTGGAGAAGCAACCCATACAATTGTTTCTGTCCGACTCCGTAGATGTATACTTTTTCATAAATTGTTGAACTTTAATCCGTTATTTATAAATAATTAGACGGTCAAAAATTTTTTTTTATTTTTTTTTTAAACTCACAACAAATACATTAAAAGACTGTCAGTTTTTTGAAAGTTTCTGACAGTTTTTTTTTTTATAACTAAGAAACTGGTACAGAACTGCAGGGAGTGTATGCAATCAATGTTAAATATCCAATTTTCAATCTCGGGTTATAGATGGTCAATTGACTTCAAATTTTTAGGATAATTGTATCTAATCATCATGTCCCTAATAAGAATACAAAAATTTAGAATTTTCTGACGCTATACCTTAACCAAGACAAGCGCTATTCAGAGCATCCACACATTTCACGAACTTTACTATGCTAGAATTCAAATTTTTGGAAAAAAATTTTTCGAGGTGATTTTTAAAAGCATAAGGATTAAGAAAATGCAAAAAAAAATCAAATTTTTTTAATTTACAAAGTGGTCACCTACCTTAAAAGCAAATAACGGGAAGTAACAGCCACTAAGTAACTTAACATTTTTTTATTTTATTACAAATAACTTCTATTTTTACCTTTGAAAAAGCCAATAAAATTAACAAAACTTTGATATTACAATAAAAATAATTGCCAAAATTTCCTGCTATCTGTTTGGTATGAATTAATTATAAACATTAACAATAATACCTATAATTTGTGATACAAATTTTACTACTATATAATGTTTGTCTCAAAAATGTTAATTATTTTCCTTAAACATATTTTGGTTTGATTAATATGAAGAAATATTTTAGGTACTATTTAAATCGATTTAAGGATCTGTATAGACAAGCAAGTATCGATTTAATGTTAGGAAAAACAGTTAGTGAAGAAATATTTCAAGAGCGAACCGAAGAAGAAGACAATGCTGCTACGGCAATTCATGTTAAATTACTCATTGAAGATTGTAAGAAACTTTTGATTTCAAACTCTGAAGAAATATTAGGAAGTTGGGGACTTATTGACGCAGACCCTGTGTAAGATATTAATTTTTTATTGATAAATTTATTGAAAAAAAAAAAAAAAGTTATAAAAATTGTTAATAAAAAAAATTTTTTAATACAGAACGGGCAATCCGAATGAGACTGAAATGGACACGATTTTAATTTTAACAAAAGACAGTTATTATATCGCTGACTATGATGATCAAATTGACAAAGTCACAAATTATCAACGAGTTCTTTTATCTGAAATTGAAATGATTGAATTTGGACAGCCAGAAATAAGTACATCGTTTTTTAAAAATAAACAGCATCATTGTATTCGTATAAATTATTGCGTAAATAATGAAAGTGGTTACTATCATATGTTTCGATGTACAAATTTAAGATTTTTTAACAATATGGCAGTCGTTATTAAAACAGATGAAGAGGCTATAGGTGAGTTGAAGAATTATCAATTTTCATAATTCTATTTGAAACTTTAAAGATTTTTATATTTGTTTGTTTATTGTCGTCGGTTTATTCTTTCAGAATCTTTGAGAGCTATTTGTGAAGCTTTTTCAGTTGCAATTGAAATTGCTGCATTGCCAGAAATTCCAGTAGTAATGAATACTTCTTTAGTCAAAAAAATAAGTAAACAAATAGAAACTAAAGGATCTACCGGACTCTTAGACATATCATCATTTCCTCAGTTGACTAGAAATACTTCTGAATCACAGCTTCATGCTCTCAAGAATGCAGGTATTTTTTTTTTTAAATATATATATTTACAAAAATTTTAAGGATCATTTTGGTTTCGGTGCTCAAAAAAAAGGCAATATTCATTATTTTTTTAAACTATTAGTGATATTAATATAAAATTTATTCAGATCAACACATACACTCTTGAATAACACAAACAATAAAAAACGAGTGAACGGAGCTCCTCCAAAAGTTGGTATATCGTTGACGTGCATGATAATTTGATATCGGCTCATCGAAAACACAAAAAAAAAAAACTAAAATTATTTATCTTCAATGTATAAGTAGAGATAGATGTTTATTGATAAATAACAAAATGGCTGAGATAAAAAAAAAAAAAACTTAAAAATTAGGGTTTTTTTCACAGTTTTTAGTCCTAAAAACATAGTACGAATCAAAATTTTGATTTGGTTGTAGCTGATGCAATAACTACTACTATGTAGAATATGTGGTTTAAATTTCATTAAAATTGGGTCAGTGGTTCCGGAGATATCATGTTTCTAAAGAAATCTATCTGTTGTAGCTGGTTTCATGTCGTAATTTTAAGGAAATTTTGTCATAATATGTTTTATTTCATCGAATAATGTCGAAAAATAGCATTCGCTCAAAAGTCTATAAATGTATTTATGTGATATAACGCGTCATGTAAGCAGGATTGCTCCCACAATTTTCAACCGATCTTTATGAAATTTTGTGGGCTTATTCTGTAGATCAATACTAAGATCAAGTTCGAAGATGAGCAAAATCGCCCAGTTAGTTTATGAGTTATGGGTGTTCAAAAATTTTTTTATTTTAAAAATTAAAAAAAAAAATTTTAATTACGTATATTTTATGGACATAATTTTCCAGATGTAAAATTCAGATGAAATCTATTAAATTTATCTCAAACTTCATTCAATTATCTTCAATTTGAGCTATCATTTGTCTAGTTTTGATGATTTTTTTAATTAATTCCGTGATTTTGAAAATTTGAAAAAATTTTTCAATGAACTTATTTCGGCCCTTTTTCTTTAGATAATTTTTAAGTCGTAAAAGTTGGCTTAAATCGATAAAATTTATTTTAAAGTTCACATGATTATCTTCAATTTAAGCTATTATTCGTCGACTTTTGATACTTTTTTCAATTTATTTCGTAGTTGGGAAAATTAAAAAAAAAATCAAGAATAAATTAATTTTTATCTTTTATCATCAAATGATTTTCATCTGTTACAAATCCTATTTTTTAGGTAGATGTCTTTGAATATCTATTTATTGTAGTCGGTCTCATATCGTTATTTGCAAAAATATAATAAAAAATATATTTTAGGACGTTATTACCTTTAAATAACGTGTTTTTTTTTCAATTTTCAAACAAGAAATCTACCTCTCCATGTCGGGTGTGGCCGAATGGCGCTTTTTTTTTTAATTAAAAAAAAAAATCTTACCTAAAGTCAATCAGCGATGCTGGCACCACACAAAATTCCTTCAGCCTTTTTAAAAATTTGATTTTTTTCACTTGAACATCTTCATAAACGTCGTAAAATAATATATTTACAATGATCCAGTCACTTAGAAAATTTAACACAACACTGTTACATATACGTACTTTCAAAAATTAAAAAAAAAATAATTTTTTCAAAAGTTACAAACCAGAATGATTCATTAATTCGGAATTCGTTAAACAATTCATGACTTTATTTCCAATATTAATTCATTAATCTTTTCCAGGTACAAAAGCATTCAATAACATGTCAGAGCAGTTTAGTAAATTGAATAAACTAAGTAATAGTTTTGGTAACGCCAGAAAATTATCAATAAGTCATACAGACAAAAAAATCTCCAGCGATAAAATAGAACAAAATACACAGTCAAAAGTAGTTTTTACAATCGATCGATGTGAGCCTGGTATTGAAGCCGAAAATTACGATTTTGATACTCACAGCTATGATGATAGTCATGAAAATTTCGAAGAAGATAATTCTAAAGTTGAATCGGTAATTTCATCACTTGAAAATAATTCTTCGAACCCAAAAATAACCATTTTAAATACTGATGGCCAAGAAAAAGATGAAAAAGAGAAAATAGTACCACCATCTACTTTGAATCTCGTTAAAAAAATCAGTCATTCTTCAAGTGAAGTTGATAGCGATACCGACAGCCGTAATTTTATAGAAGTCGATAAAAATGGTGAAAGAAAAAGTACTAGTCTTGAAGAAGGCTTACCAAAAAATAACATCACATCGTCGCAAAGTGAATCGGCATTAAAGTCAATAAAATCTAATATTACAAATGTAACGAGTCCTGTTGCTACTACAGCAAAAGAAATACTTTCACCGTTTTCTAAATTTGCTAAGGGAGTACAAACATTTGGGGCTAATTTGGATCCAAGAAAACTTAAATCTCATCAAGGTACTGTATCAAAAAATTTATCTGATCATCACTTGGATCAACGAGAACAACTTATAGAACGTTGGAAAGGATGTAAATCTATGTTAATTGCTTTATAATTGATATTAATCTTATAGTACGCTGATAACTGTATTATTAGAAACAATACGCATCCGTGAATAATGAAATGCTGAATATGTTTTAGTTTAGGTCATTTTAAAGTATACCATGACAATTATGTTTATAATTGGTGTTTAAGAGAGCATATTATTATAGTAAATTATAGTACAGAAAATTAGAATTTCGAATACCGAAATAGGTAAAAAAATTTAGAGCTATTTCATATTCTGTGAATTGTAATTGTAGCGTATTTCATTAAACTTTATTTTTTTTTTTAATTAATTTCAAATAGATATTCTAATTATCTAGTTAAATTTTTTTATTTATAACGTTTAGTTATTGAAAAATACATTTTAAAATATTTTTTTTTTATTCACACAATAAAAATATGAAACAGCCCTAAATTTTTACTCCTTGAGTATTATTAGTTAATTTAAGCTGTAATAAGGTAAAGTACCCAGTAGTTGAACAGCTAAGTTTCAAAGTAAAACGTATTTGACCCTACTTTTAATATATAAAGATGTAATTATTAGTTCAAATTAGTGATTTTCATGAAAATATAAACAATTTTGAATTTATTGAAGCGCAAAATAACAAAGATAATTAAATATTTATGTTTTGGCAACGTTTTTAAGATAGACTATGAAAGGAGTAGTAGTTGAACAATCAGTTCTGACAAGCCGCAGTAGTTGAACACTCTGGGAGCAGCAGTTGAATTAATAAAATATATGGCAATAGGCACACCAAAATTTTTTAACGTTTAATTAAAATATTCAAAGATTTATAACATATTATTGGATAATGTTAAAAATAATACTGTGGATATTTAATATGTTCATTTAAAAATGTCTTCTTCCTATTAATAACAATAATTTTCTTTCTTTTCCTATTTATGTTCCTTCTCTTTTCCCTATTGTTTCCTTTCCTGGCATTAATCATCTTAGTGTTATTATTGCAATCTAAAATTTCCAAAAACGCAAACTACCAAGCTTCCGTTTCTTAAAATAACTTCTTTAAACACCTAACTCAATTCTACAACATACATCTAAAAATAGCACAATATAATCACACAATACCCATATTATAATTGCGATTGTGATGAATGACGGGTCAACAGAGTTATTTGACGATGCAGGAGTGTCTTATATTACTCTCCTGTATTCATTATAATTTATACTGATAATGATAATGATGATCTGAGTTTTATTGTTGGTATAACTTTCAGTTATTTGTACCACGTGGTTGCCTCGGTTAAACGGTATTTAGTTTTGTCTACACTGAATTGTGATTGGTATCAAGTATAAACGGTGAATAAACCGGAACAATTGACGTTTAAGGTCTGATAGGTCGAAATAATTTTTTTTCCGCTACCAACAATCGCTTTATATTCTTTATAAGGTAGTACAAATTTATTAGGAGTATTTTTAAATTTTTGTTAATAATTAATTTAAAAGTTAAAAAAATATAAATTAAATCACAGCACATGCAAGTTATCTATATTTATAAATTAAATAATTTTTTTTTAATTCCAGCTATAATCATTATGGTATGAACTGGATGATCACAAAACCATGAAGCTCCTCGTGCTCGCGTTTATAATCCCCCTGGCGCTGGGTCTGACATTTCAAGAAGACGACCTGGTGTTTGACGACGTGAGCGATGATTCTCAGCCTATATCGTCAGTGTCACCTTTAATTAACCAGCCATCCGAGCCTCATCAACCTCAGCCTCCTCAATCACAATCTCACCCCTCAACGGGCTCGAAAATAATCGAGAGCACCAGCCAGAGCCCCTTTCCAGAGGCTAATGTAACCACCACCGTTGGGCATGTTTTCAGATTCAAAGTACCAAAGCACGCCTTCGGTGGGAGCGTAAATCACTACGAGGTAAGTGGTCATTGTTTCTCGAGCTCGATTTGGCGATCAGCCAGCTGAAGCTGGGTCGGGGATATTTTTCCGATCTGTATGACCTGGAAAATATTCCGCCTACTCGATATTAAAATATAGAAATAAATAATAAAAAATAAACAATAAATGTCTCCAGATACGGAGCAGTAACAACAAGCCGTTGCCTCACTGGCTGTTTTACGATGAGGCAACGACCACTCTGCTGGGTGTGCCCGCTAAAAAAGATGTAGGCCAGCATCATTTATCCATAAAGGCTTATTATACGTACGGAGATGTCGTTGAGAGTTTATTTACCGTCAAGGTCCTTCCGGAAAAGACTGATGAAGTTAAACATAAGGATGGAAAGGTATCAAGCTGTTGTTGTTATTAGTAGACTTTATAAAAATCTAATTAAGGTAAAGTACCCAGTAGTTGAACAGGTTTCAAAGTAAAATGCATTTGACCCTACTTTTAATATACAAAGATGTAATTATTAGAAAATTAGTGATTTTCATGGAAATATAAATAAATTTTAAATTGAAGCGCAAAATAACAAAAATAATTTATATTTTGACAACGTTGTTAAGATAGACTATCAAAGAAGTAGTATATTGTTAACTACACTAATTTTTAGCTATTAAACTTATTTAATTTGCAGTAATTAATACAAATCACAATACTGATCATTAGTCTATAAACCTATTAGAGGTTTAAGTGCTGTTAAATTTATACGGCCCCAGCTTGTTCAAATTCTGGGTACCGCTTTGAAAATTTGGAAGTATAATTAGACGCTAAAATTTAATATAAAAATTATAGTTTATGTCTTTGCAAAAAATATGTATTATTTAGAAAAGACTATTTCATTGGGTGGTATAATTTTTTTTTACTTAAAATGATATACCGTTTTTTTTTTACTGATTATTCGGTTTACGGTTTAGTACCTTTTTCATGAAAAAAATATCATCTATTGACTATTCTCGACATGCCAACTTTTAACTTAACAAAAATATAATTGTTTTGAATTATAATTGAAAAACTTACAGAAATCAATTATTGTATCATTGAATAATTATAACATGCCCATATTACTCATAATAAATATACGGATTTTGTATTACAACAATTTGAAAAGTGTGTTCAAGTACTGGGTACTTTACCTTAATCTGTATATATAAAAAAATTCACTACATTACTGTTAAAAAAATTAGATTCAACAATAAATATGAGTATTATAACCAAAGTAAATTCATGATGAGTTCCGTAAAACTCAATTATTATATATATATCTTTGAATTCAAATCATCAATCAGTATCACATTGTGTCAATATTATTTTCATTAATATACTAATTGTTTAATTTTTTTTTAATTTATACTATTATTTACATCAGTTATAAGAAAATTGGAGAAAAGGAGGTGCTAGACTTGAAAATTGATAAATTTCCGCAAAAGATTTTTATTTAATTAGATTTATTTCCTAACAAAGAAACCTAATTACAAAAAAGGAGTTAATATATTAAAAATAGAATATTAATTGTATCGAATTTTTATTATTAATATTATGAGATTATTATTGATAAGTATTATATAGAACAGAACAGCCTGTGATAACTTTAACTTAAAGTAAAAATTAATAAGTCAGTTTCTGTTACCTTATATATGTTATATGTATATCGATACTCATGTTAAGTTCTAATAGAATTTATTTCAAAAATTTCACAATTTTACTTATTTTTTAAAATTGAATAATAATAATATGAAGTCTGTATTCAAGTCGATTTTTAAATAAACTTTCTCATCGATTGAATTTTATCCTGTTAAGAATGAAAAATCGTTTTTATATCGTCGGCTGAAAAATTTTCTAAATATGGAATACATTCTATTAGAACGTCGATATACATATAATTTTTTTTTTTTTTAGCATATTGCTTTTAATTAATTTATGGTTTCATACATCTGTACCTATGAAAATAAATATATGCTTTCTAGAGAGTACATTGTCTTTTTTACTCTGAATAACCAATCACGTTATGTGAACATTGTACACAGTAAATTATATTGAAGTTTAGTTTAGTTCATTTATAATTATGCCAAAGCCAAGGCCAAATGGCAATGAGAAAATATACGTAAAATTTTTAATTATTGTGCAGTTTTAAATCTACATACATTTTAAATATTTTACATTAAGTGTTTTTAGGGTAGACAATATTATTAATACAAAGATAATATTAAAAATAATGAGAATATAACATTGAATTAACTGACAATTTAAAAAGTCTTAGAGATAAAGGTAAAAAAAAATCAAATTATAAAAAAGCTGCAACGTACAAAGTTCACTAAGAAATTAAGGACTAAATTATTGTGCTAAAAACTTCATGAATAAGACTATTATTGATTAGACTGCTTTTTTAAATTAAGAAATTTATAATAAATAAAATATGAAAAAGTCACATAGACAATATGAGAAATTTATTTTTTAAATTATTTGATAAGTTCTATACTTTCAATCTTGAAAAAAAAATTTTTTCTAAAGAAGAGTTATGAAAAAAAAACTCTCTTTCGATTACTCTTTCATTGGAGAATTTGTTAAATCTGGGATTGGTAAGACGGCTAGTACAGCACCTGTAAATTTGAATTTTTCAACACAATTCTATACCCAAAAATTGAAAGTTTATTTCTTACCTATCAGTAAACCAAGCATAACGTAAATTACCATCCAGCATGGTATTACGGCAAAAAAAGATATCAAAAACGACGTTATATACGGTAATACTAATGTGAAACCCCAAATAGTTCCTCTGTAACAAGCATAGCAATTATGACACTGAATTTAACAACTGTGTAGATTTTTATACCAATTAAATTATAATTAAAAAAATTCCACATGCAGAAATTTAAAAAAATTATGAGTGCGAATTATTAATATTTGTTTTCTTAATAATTGATTTGTTGTAAAAATTTCCAAAATTGTTAGATTTTGCTAATTTCAGTATCATATAGCAATTTCGTTAAAAATTGTAAAATGTTTACATTCTGATTTTATCCTTACCTTACAGATGTTGGGTAATGTTCTAATAGTTTAATACTTGTAGTTGTATGAATGATTGCAAAGGACGATAAAAATAAAATTGACCAAATCGTTTTAGCATCTTGATGATAACCGAAGATAACCACAAGGATTGATATTCCACCAATTAATCCAGAGATAACTAATAGGATATTGATTAATAAAAAATTAGATTAGATGAAAATTAAAAAAAAAAGAAAGATAACAATTTTGGTAATTATGCAGAAGTGGGGCTCCACTTATTTTTGAGTGTAAAAATCTTGTTTAATATTTTTTTTTTTTTTCAATGAATAAAAAAAAATCAGAATATCGTAATTAAAAATTTTTTGAAATCGTGAGTTTTTGAACTTCTAATGAAAAAAAAGCACCAAAATATTCAATTTTCAATCTTATCATATTTTTCATAAATTCACCATGAACAACAATTCGAAAAAAAAAAAATTAAAAAAGATCAATTTTTTATTTTATTTCAATTTTATCTAAAATAAAGGTGGAACCCCACTTCTGCATAATTACCACAACTTTATTAAGGGATCATTTTGGTTTCTAACTTTTAAAAAAATTAATTTTTTTTTTTATTTTTCGAAAGTACATATATCTCGAAGAATTCTGTTAACATTTCAAAGTGATCGGACCAATATAACTATACTATTCTACAATGTTTATGTGGATGTTCGAGGTGAAGAAAATCAAATCTTTAAAAAGGCTGAAGGGATTTTGTATGGTACCGGATATCGCTGATGAACTTGAGGTAAAAAAATTTTCTTTTTTTAATTAAAAAAAATTTTGAACGTGATTGTCTTAGAATTATGTTTTTTTAGTTTAAGTACATGATATCTTCGAAACCACTGACCCAATTTCAATTAAATTTAAACCACATATTCTATTGCATCAGCTACAACCGAATTAAAATTTTGATTTTTACTATTTTTTTTAGAATTAAAAACTGTGAAAAACAGCCTCATTTTTAAGTTTTTTATTATAAATCTCAGCCATTTTGTTATTTATCAATAAACATCAATCTCTACTTATATAATAAAGGTAAATAATTTTGGTTTTTGTGTTTTAGATGAGCCATTATCAAATTATCATCTACGTCAACGATATATGAACTTATGGAGGGGCTCCGTTCACCCGTTGCTTATTTAATAAAAAAAAATTTTTAAATAAAGTTGGATATTTTTTGTGTTATTCAAGAGTGTATGTGTTGATCTGAATAAATTTCATATCAACATCTATAATCGTTTCTGTGTAAAAAAATAATGAAAATAACAAGATTAATATCAAGATGGATATTACTTGCCTATTGATAGTTGTCGACCAATCCTATCGATTGCAATTGAAAGGAAGCTTTCACCTAAAATGAAACTTGACGAAAGAATGAGCGAATGTTTGAAATGAACATGGTTTACTTCATGGCAATAGTTTAGAAATTGTAAACCAATATCTCTTAAATCAATGGAACAAGTTGTGTTAGAAGATGAGGCATAATTTGTTTCATCAGATAAATACGCTGTCCATTGTGTAATTTGAATTAGACTAAAATTATAAAATTTTACAATAAATATCAACGATAATTAATTTACAACTGTAAAATTAATAATACTTACCCTGGAAAAAGGAAAAGTCTGAGAAAAATAAATAACAAAGTGCATTTTATAAAATTTTTTGAATAAATTAGCTTAATTTTCTTCCAGGTTTTAAAAATAAATTCACGTAAAATTTGAAAAAAATATCTTGCATCAACATCGTCTTCATCTGATCTAACACAATTGTTTAAATTGCATGACTAAAATAGAAAATTTTTGTTTTAAAATTGCTATTGTTCAATTTTTTACCGACTCACCGGAAAGTTATTAATATGCTGAGAATTATTTATGGCAAACATTTGCTGGAAGACAATTAAAGCTTGCTGAGGACGTCTGCGATAAAGAAGATATCTTGGACTAGGTGGAAGAAGATTAGAAAGATATGCTATTATGAGACATGGCGCACTTCCTAATCCAACGAGAACTCGCCAGGAATTTGGACGAAAGTCTTTGCTAAGTACTTTAATTATTGATGGAATTAAAATCCAACTTAAACCTAATAAATTAATAATTTAAGCTTTATTTATTTAAGATGACAATTTTATTAACTATCGTTTGAATGAAAAAATAAAAATTAGACATACTTAAGGACACTACGTAGCCAATAGACCATAGGAGGTCAATAAGAACCAAACAAATGCCTCTTCTGTTAGCTGGAACGCACTCAATCAAATAAACTCTAAGTACCAGGTGACTTCCTGCTAATCTAATAGTTTAGATACTTTTATTTTGATGTAAGTAAACTAAGGGAAAAAATTATTTTGAAAAAAACGAGGATTGTTTGTTAATTTTATTTTTTAATTGAAGAAATAAAAATTTTTCTTACAGTAATTTTCTTGCTGAAAAAAAGTTTTCTAGATTTAAAAAAAAAAAAATTTTAAATAGACAACTTACAAATTTTCATCCAAAATTGTTTTTTTCCCAAATCCAGAATACCTTTTAAAAAAAAATTTACTGTGAGAAAAATTTTTATTCCTTCAGCTAAGAAATAAAATTTTTTAAAATTTCCAACAAATTAATTTCTTATTACAATAAGGTAAAAGCCCCTATTATTGACACCCTATTTAATTTTATTATTTCATTATTAAAATCTGTTAATAATTACAATTTTTTATATTTCATAGCAATTTTACATATTTTTAAAATTAAAAAATAATAAAATTTAATTCCAAGGTATAAACTATTTACCGCAAAAAATTTTCATTTTTTCAAGTAGGCCAAAACTGCTGATACGTTGGTAATTTCTTAACAATATTGTTAAGAAAGACCTTATTTTCAAATTCAGATTTCTCAATGTTTTTTTTACGTAATTGCATTGTTTAAAATTATTTTAGATTATTTATAGTCTAAATAACCATATAATTATTTACTTATACATTATCTAGTTAAAATTAATTTTAAAATAGCGGATGTCAATGATGGGGACACAAAAATTAACTTGCGTCAACTAACGATATAGGCCATAATGTAAGGTAACAAAACCCTCTCATCATACATATCAACGTATTAATGTTTACATACTTTCATGTGATTTTATAAGAATCAAAGTATTTGAGACTAAAAAAAATTGCTAAAAAAAAACCTGGTAAAAAATATAGAAAAGCTAGGCCTTAAATGAATTTTAAAATAATAAAAATTATTGATAGTTTTGCATTAGTTAGTAAAAATGATTATTGTTAATATAAATTTAACTGTAATAAAAGACCTGTCAATAATAGGGTCAATGGTATGTCAATAATCGGCTCTTTGAATTTTTTGCACTGTCAATAATACATACATTCGACCTGCTGGTTTTAAGTTGATATAATAATTATTGAATTTATTGCTATTAAAGGTAATTAATTAAATTATATAAGGAAAAATAATGATTAAGGTGTCCTATAAGAAAAAAAAGTTGACAGTATTAATTTGAAACACGATAAAAAAATTCAAATATTCATGATCACTCTTATAGTGGCAATAATGGAGGGGGCTTTTATCTTATTGCTCATTTTTTTTCAAGATAAACTTTTTTTTTCGTACAAAATATAAATAATAAATTTTTATACCCAATGCCCAACATGAAAATAAAAAAGCTTATCAGAAAATAAGTTTGAGAGAATGAAAGTCCAAGGAAAGCAGAAAATATTATAACCATAGAAATTGGAATTAAATTTCTACGTCCACTATAGTCTGCTATGGTACCAAATAATAATCCACCAAGAGTCATACCTAGACAAAATAAATTAAATTTTATTATTTCTATTTGATTAATAAAATCTACTTAAAATTACCTAGTGATAAAACAGCATTGAAAATTACTATCTGTCTTTTATTGAGAAAAAGGTCGCAAGTAATTAAAGGAATTGTTATTGAAATAATTAGCACTGCAGTAGCTTCAACTAGAGTGCATAGCCCACATAATCCAATAAGTAAGTAATTACACAAACCCCATCCTGTTAAAATTTGTTATTTTAGTTTTAATCATTTATAAAACATTAGTCCTTAACTTGCCTGTTTTTGTGATTATTATTTCACACCCTTCATCCATAAAAATTATTATTTATTTTTAATCTAAAAAAATCTTGATTAGATATGTCTTTCAATACTTATCATAAATTGTTTACTTAGAAAAGTTACAATATTCATATCGTTAAGATAAAAAACAAGAGAATTCAATTTTATTTTGAAAATTACCAATTTATTGGTTTCTCAGTGGAAAATACACATAGAAAATTGTTCAACAATTAATGCTATGAGAATAATTAATATAATCCCATATAAAATAAACAAAACCAGTTAATCTCTTCAGTTAAAGATAACTAAAATGATATTCTATTAAAAAAAGTGCAGAAAAAAAAATTATTTATGCAAAAATTCGAACGTAAAAAAGAAAACTGATGATTTAAGAACTGGAGAAATATTCTTTGGATCCAACGGGATCTGGTTTCATTGTTTTCTGTCCAGGCTTCCAACCAGCAGGGCAAACTTCACCATGTTTGTCAGTAAATTGGAATGCTTGGACTAGGCGCAGAGCTTCATCGACAGATCTGTTATGCATAAATGTTATGGAATTTAGAATTGTAATTGGAAAAATATTAATAGCAATTTTAATTAATAAAAGTAATAATATATTTACCGGCCAACTGGCAAGTCGTTGATTGTGATTTGGCGAAGATTTTGCTTATCATCAATGACAAAAAGTCCTCGGAATGGAATACCAGACTCTTCATCCAGAACACCGTAGTCACGAGCGATTTTACAACTTTTGTCAGCCAACAGAGGAATGTCCATGTCACCTATTCCTCCTTGTTTTCGGGGAGTATTGATCCAAGCAAGATGACTGAAGTGAGAATCACATGATGCGGCAATCAATTCACATCCAATAGCTCGGAATTCATTAGCACGGTCAGAAAATGCAATAATTTCTGTTGGACAAACAAAAGTACTGGAACAAAAAAATTTCATGAAAATTATTAACGAAAATTAAGTAAGCCGACATTTAAAAAATTTTTTCACAAAAAAATTATTATATAAAAATTAAAAAAAAAAAAAGTTTTCACAAGTGCAATTTTTTTATTATTTTTATTATTTTTTTTTTTTTTTTTTTTTGGACTTATCTATTCATACGTAAAGAAGTCCTGATAAATCCACGCTGCGTGAATGCAAAAGTCTTATGAAAATGAAGTTAGCCGGCATTTCAAAATTTTTAGAAATTTTTTTAATAAAAAATTTCAATTAAACAATTAAAAAAAAAATTGTCACATGTAAAAAACGTTAAAAACTATAAGTAGCAATTTTTTAGAAATATTTTTTAGTTGTAATTTAATTAATAAAAAAATCAAAAATTTTTACACGTCTTCTAACTTCAGTGTCATATAATGTCTTTATATTCAGACTGCGTGGATTTATCCGGATTTTTTTTACGTGTGAATAGACATTTTTTTTTTGTTCAATAAAAAAAATGATAAATTTCTGCTGATTTCAGTATCATTAATTAATTGTTATATTAAATGGTAACGCAATAATTGAATTTATAAAGAATACTTACAAATCCAATGGATAGAAAAAGAGAATAACATATTTTCCTTTGTAATCTGATAATGAAATATCCTTAAATTGTCCTTTGACAACAGCGGTGCCTTTGAAGGCTGGGGCAGGTTTTTGAAGAGCTGGCACAGGCATTATGGCTGAGGAATAAAATAATTATAAAGTGTTGCAATCTTATGAAATATATACTTAATGATAAAATTGAACGTTAAGCAATACTTAGTATTGTTATAAATGATGATGAATATTCATCGATAAAGTAATAAGAGATAAATTAGAATGACGAAGTAAGAAATTTTTAAGGCCATTTTTATGACAAAAATCCATATATATATATTTCTAATATTCTAATATATTATATAATCAGGTCAATAATAAGCATCTTAGCTGATAATATAATTATGAATTTTTATTTTTTACCTTCAACTGCGTAAGAATAAAAACTGTGAGAGCGTCCTTTTGAGCGAACTTTCTAGAATGACCGGTTTACGTCAGTGTTGCCCAGTGTTGCCGATGGCTTAAGTTAGAATTACCCACTCCACTAAGTCCAATTACCCGTTTTTACCCGGCACTGAAAGTTATTGTTGCCATCTACTAAAAGCGCGGTAAATTTAAAATTAAATATTAAATCTTAGAACATTCAAAATAAAAAGTACACAATAATAATTATTAATAAAATTTATTGAATTATTTCGTTTTTTTAAACTTTCAAAACATAATATTGTTAAGTATTTGTTGAATATATAAACCATATAAATTAAAAAATAAACATTAGACGATGTACTTAGTAATGATAATCGTTATCATAACAATATTAATTCAGATTTTTTATTATTTATCGTTATTTTTCCTAAACTTTTGTATCAATCATTTCGTTTGTTGGCTCAAAATTAATAATTTCGCTATCCTTAGATAAATAATTTTTAGTTACTGATACAGATTTTAAGGTTTCCGTGGATAAATTGTTTCTATTAGTCAATTGATTTTGTGAATCACTCATTATGTTCCGGTAAGGCGCAAGTTCAAGTTATGAGGGCAAGCGGGAAAATATGAGTTTGAATTATACATAAAAAATATTTATTCAATACTTTAACATAAAATGTAATTTAAGGAAATCCAAGTACCCTGCTAGTGTAAAGAATGTCTAAAAAAAAAATAATGCGTAGAAATACTTTTGTTATGCATCTTAAAATTAATTTTCAAATTAATTAATAACATTTTTGAGGAAATTTCCGAAAAATTTACGCATTTAATAATTATTTAATTGACTAAAAAAAATATAGCACTCTGAATTACCGGTAAACACTTGACAACACCGTAACAGTTCCCTAACCTTGAAATTTATTTGTTTGTAAACATGTCTCAGATAAACCAGCATAATTTGCGAGCGCATTTTGGCAAATTTTCTACACATTTTATAAAGAAATATATAATTTTATTTATGTAATCCTGTTAATTAAATTATATTCCTTACTCATCGATTAAATGATTTCCAACTTTTAATTGTAAGGGCCAGTTTTTCAATCCAAGATAAAATTTTATCCAAGATAAAA